AATAAACTTGAACTTTTTTGATGTTATCATATAGTTAATGCATTTTTTCTTTAGCTGTTTCAAGGTGACATACTGGGTATGAATGTCTTTAAACTAATGTTTGAAAATTGATCAGTTATTGAATTTTCAGATTAATATTTTTCCAACTTTGGGATGATTTCAGCCATTAGACTTTGAAATCCTTCAGTACCGTTTTGTTTGCTTATTTTAAAGTGGTGCAATTGTACAGATATTTTAATATTTTATTACCTAACAAGATAAAGAATATTTAATTGTATTTCCTATTTTATAGAGATACCATATTTATGGGCTGGAGCAATAGCACATCAGGTAGGGCATTTGCCTTGCACGCGGTCGACGTGGGTTCTATTCCTCTGCCCCTCTCAGAGAGCCCGGCAAGCTACGGAGAGTATCCGTCCCCCTTGACACAGACTGGCAAGCTCCCCGTGGTGTATTTGATATGCCAAAAACAGTAACAAGTCTCACAAAGGAGGCATTACTGGTGCCAGCTCTAGAAAATTAATGAACAACCGGAGGACAGTGCTAGAGTACTACCATATTTTTAATAACGTTAATGATAGTTTCATGCATACATCATTCCAGCATCACTTTCACCAGAGTGTCTACTTTCTTCCAATAATGTCTCACGGACTCCTCCCGTCTCTACCTTTGTAGTAAGCTTAATTTTGTACACCAATTTTCTAGCTCCGTTGCCTTTGGCCTTTTGTCTCTCCTTTATTATGTTTCTTTTTTTTTCTTTAGGTTTTGGGTCACACGCGGCAATGCTCATGGGTAACTTCTAGTCCATGCACTCAAGAATTACTTTTGGCGGTGCTCAGGGGACCAAATGGGATGCTGGGAATCAAACCTGGGTGGGCCGTGTGCAAGGCAAACGCCCTACTCACTGTGTTACTGCTCCAGACCTTCTGATCTATTATGTTACTTTATATTACCACACATGAGAGATATCATTCTGTATCTGTACCTCTCCTTCTAACTTCACTAATATTATACCCTCTAGTTTCTCATACAGCAAAAATGAATGATATCTTTTTAAATCAAATAGTATTACATTTGGTATACATATATACTACAGTATGTTTACCACATCATATATTCTTGGGCAGTTGGATTGCTTTCAGTTCTCGGCTATTGTGAAATATGCTGAAATGAACATAGGGTCACAAATGTCTTTTGGAAATCCTATTTTTTGTATTTAGGGGAAATTTCAGGAAGTATAATAATGAAATGATATGAAAGTTAAATTTTTATTTTTTGAGAAATGTCCATATTGTTTTCCAAAGAATTTGAATCAGTTGGTTCCTTTCTTCCCACATCTACATTAGTGCTGATTTTCTTTTTATTCTTTTTCCATGTATGCCAATCTGACTTGTGTGAGGTGATAGTTCATTGTTGTTTTGATTTTCATGTTGTTTTTATTGAAAAACAGTTTTTATACCCCTTTTGTCCTCTGCATGTTTTCTCTAAATAAATATCTGTTCCTCTCTCCTATTTTTAATGGTACTGTTTATTTGTTAATATGATTATGAAAGAGGTCATGTCTAATTTTAATAGCTTTTCTTCCTATGATATTAATTTTCAGAAATTCTGTGAGATTCTCATGTTATTTTGTATGGTTGATCTTTTTTTCCTGTACCACTTGGAATTCACTTCTCTCTAATAATTACACCTGAGACAATAGAAATCCTTTCTACAGCCCAGGTAATTATTGAGGGGTAGATTATCCATATGAGTGCACCTGATCAATCCGAGGGAAAAAAGACATTATGTATTTCATATTTTAGGGTAATTCCTAAGCTAGGTGTTCATCATATCTTAGTTACTCTCAAAAATAATCAAAATTGTTTGCAACTTGTGCCCAGTTTCTTTTCCTCCCCAAACTTGGAAGGAACAACTCTTGCGTTAAGAAAAAATTACCCTACTCCATCAGGAAGATAAATGAACTGAAATTTTGTCAAGGTAGAAATACAACTGTTAAAGTCATATAAAAATGCTCTACATGGCTAATATTCAAGATGATGCAAATCAAAACAATGAGATATCATCTCACGCCAATGTGAGACTGGCGCACATCCAAAAGAACAAGAACAACCAGTCCTGCTCCAGTTTGGGGGAGAAAGGAAATCTTCATTGTTGGTGAAAATGCTAACTGGTCCAGCATTTTTGGAAAACAATGTCGACATTCTCAAAAAGCTAGAAATTGAGCTTCCATATGACTCAGCAATAATACTTTTGGGAATAAACCCTGGGAGGACAAAAACACACAGCAGAAATGCTATCTTCAATTTATGTTCATTGCAGCACTATTCAAAATAGCCAGAATCTGGAAACAACCCAGAAGCCCAAGAACAGATGACTGGTTAAAGAAACTATGGTACATCTACACAATGGAATGCTGAGAAGCTAATAAGAAAAGTAAAATTATGAAATTCCCATATAAATGGATGGACATGGAGAGTATAATGCTGAGTGAAATGAATAAGCAGGAGAGAGATAGACATAGAATGATTTGACTGGAGTGGTATAAAAAAGAACATAATATGACATTGATACCCAAAGACAGTAGAAACAAAGTTCAGGTAGATTGGTTCATGGTTGAAGTCTGCCTAAAGTGCTGGGGAGAGAAGGCTGTTGGGACAGAGAAGGGACCACCTGACAAAGACAATTGGAAATAATCACTCTGCATTAGAACTGCATTCTGAAAATAGGTTAAACTCTGTTGTACCTCCAAATTATGGAGTCTCCAACCAATTAACCTTTATTTTAGCTTTTAGAGATCTTCTTTGGTAGCCTTCCATATGACTTCCATGTTTATAGTTTTGCTTTGTGGGGGATGGGGCAGAGAATGCAACAAAGAAGTCTACATAATCTTGTCCAGAACTAATGCTCTAGCACTGTAGTATTGTCCTCCCGTTGTTCATCGATTTGCTCAAGTGGGCACAGTAATGTCTCCATTGCGAGACTTGTTGTTACTGTGTTTGGCATATCAAATACGTCACCGGGAGCTTGCCAGGCTTTGCCATGTGGGCAGGATACTCTTAGTAGCTTGCCGGGATCTCTGAGAGAGGTGGAGGAATTGAACCTGGGTCAGCCACATGCAAGGAAAACACCTTACCCGCTCTGCTATCACTCCAGCCCAATGCTCTAGATTTAGGTTTATGAATTAATTATTTTGTTTGTTTGTTTTGGGCCACACCAAGCTATAGCTAGGGGTTCCACCGAGCTTTTCATTCAGGAACTACTCCTAGTGGTGCTCTGGGAACCATATGGAACACTGAGGATTGATTCTGGGTTTGCCAAGTGTAAGACCAATACTCTACCCACTGTTTTGTCACTCTGGTCCCAGCTTCAGTGTTATTATTCTCAAGTCTATCTACCATAAAAATGAGTTATTAGAAGGGGCATCTGGGGAATCACACTGAGCTAGTCTCAGAGCTGATTTCTGGCTGTGTGCTCATAGATTATTCCTGGTGTTACTTGAGGGAGAATCTACATGACCAGGGATTTGACATATACAAGGTCAGACATATATAAGGTTTACTTTATTCTCTGTACTATCTCTGTGTCCCCTTGAGTCATTTTAAAAGTATGTTTATGTCTTTTTTATTTTGGTAAATCTTTTTTTTAATTTTATTGAACCTCCGTGAGATAGTAACAAGCTTTCATATTTGGGTTACAATCACACAATGATCAAACACCCATCCCTACACCAGTGCACATTCCCCACCACCGATATCCCCGGTATAACCCCCTTCCCCACCCTCCCCCTGCCTTATCCTTAGGTGTCAGCCTCATGTTATGTTTTTTTTTATACTCCACAAATGAGTGCAGTCCTTCTGTGTCTGTCTCTCTCTTTCTGACTCATTTCAATTAGCATTCAATTAGCATGATAGTCTCCATGACTATCTATTTATAAGCAAAGTTCATGACTTCATCTCTGCTTACAGTTGCATAGTATTCCATTGTGTAGATGTATCAAAGTTTCTTTAACCAGTCATCTGTTCTAAGGCACTTGGGTCGTTTACAGATTTTGGCTATTGTGAACAGTGCTGCAATGTACATATAGGTACAGATGTCATTTCTACTGTGCTTTTTTGCATTCTTGGGATATGTTCTAAGAAGCAGTATTGCAGGGTCATAGGGAAGCTCAATTTCTAATTTTTGAAGGGCTGTCCATATTGTTTTTATTTTGGTAATTCTTAATTTTTCAGGGCCCACCTCCAAAGATAGTCAATTGATTTGGTTAATATGGTACAATTTTGTGGTCCAGTGATATGATTTTGCTAAGACCTAGCAGTGCAATGGTCCACCAGGGGTAAACCCTCAGTGCTCAAGGGTATTGAAGAATACACATGGCAGTGCCCATAGGTCATGAGGTACCAGGTATTAAACTCTTTATCTCATGCATGCAAGGCAAGCACTAAAAACCTTTATTACTAAAATCCTTTAATGGTTTCCATCTATGAAACAGTTACATCAAAATTTACAAGGGTTCTCATTAAAATCAGTTCAAAGAAGAAAAACTGGATAATTTGTTTGAGAAAAGACAAATTATGAAGTTTTGTATTATCAACATTCCAGAAATCATAGTAATTGTTGTAGAAAGTCAATAAAACAGAATAAGATAATTAAAATATTAATTTTTTTCTTACTTTTAATAATAAATTCATTAACAATGGTATTTAATTCTAAGATAATGCTTAAATCATATGATGAATAATATGGGGTGATTAAAAGCAGTAAAACTTTTTAAAAATAAATTATCTTTTAATGTTCTTTAAAACTGGAGTAATATTTTATATAATTACTACATTTTATTTAAGGTTATCTATGTATAAATTATTTTTATACTGAATATGACCTTTAAGATAACAAATCTTACTGAGATTCTATATGCCAACTTCAAAATTTCTCAATGCAATCTCTGCTAAAAATACATGGGAATACCCATTTGCTGCTTTAAATGAAAGATTACTTACTGCTCTTTTTCTAGAACACCCTGTAATCCAAGGCACAGTAAGGTTTCCTGAAATCTGTGGAAACAACAAATGGAATCTTAGTGAGGTATGCATTAATGCTACTTGGAATGTTGATCAGTACCAGATAATTCATACAAGATGTTAAGATTGTTATGCATTTAAAACATATCCCTCACATAGATAATGTAGCTTCCTTAATGTTTACAACAGATTTAAAGGACCTTCAATAAAGGACCTTCATTAGAAAAATTTTAAGTTGTGCAAGGATCCATTAATTTAAGAAAATTTATAGTGTATTTCTGGGATCTCAAAATATTGTTGAGGTACTATTTACCTTAAAATTATTAAAATAGAAATACAGTATTTTGTGGAATAAATGAATTATGTGTATAAATTATTAAGTATATATAGTACTGTATATTCTTTGCCTAGGTTTAATTATCTTGCATGACTGCAAATCTATTTTAACATAGACTCTATTAAGTCAAATAGCAGAACCCTGTTGCAGGAAACCCTGTTTCTTTATGTAGCATCAATACACAAAGAAAAATGTATTACTTCATTAGAATTCTGGGGAGAGATCAAGTTGGCCCTGGAGCTGCCACTCAGATAAGCCTTGACCTAACCATAGCATACAAAAGGATAAATAAATAATTCAAATTCAGCATTTGCCTAAAAATTATATTCATTTTGAAAGACTGGCAGAATGTTTCCCTAAGTGCTGTTTATGAGAAATTATCATTCAAATATTTGTTGTTTTTGATAAACGATATTCAGTGGTCATTTATGAATGGTACCATACCTACAGATGAGAGATCAGTAAATGTAAATAGTAAAGCAATTATCTTAAATTATTCAAATGTCAGGCAAATTACTACAGTCCTTAGTCTATAGGCCATCTATTTTACTTTGGCTTCAAAATATACCAATCACAAGAAATAAGCTAAAATGATATAAAACCATCATTCACCTGTATAAATAATATAGTAATTTAAAGGATGTTTAAGAAATACTCTAATTCTTAATGTAAAACCCCACTGAAGTAAACTAGTAATTGATTAGATTGTATAATAGCCATGAAAATGTGTAACTGATCTTTCAAAATTGTGAGCTGAGTACTGAATAGAGAAGTGTGCTTGCCTTGGATATAGATAACCTGGGCTGGATCCTAGCACCTCACATGGACACCCAGAACACTGCCAAGAGTGATCGCTGAGCATAGAGCCAGGAGTAAACCCTGAGAAGCGCTGGGTTTGACCCCAAAATAAAAAGCGATATTGTGAACTGAGAATAATAATGACTTTCTATAGAAAAGAGTCTTTTTACCAATACTTGCCATATACTATAGTTCTTATAAAGTAAATTAATTTCTAGCATCAACAAAGGTTGTAAATATGTTAAAATCATCACATAATATATTCTTTAAAAAACAGATACCCAATCTGTTTGAATGATAAGTTCATAGACCCCACATATTAATGAGGATAATACAAAACTGACAATACAAAATTGTTAGGGAAAATATGTTAATCCAGATAAATAGCAAAAATAGAAAATGACATACCCATAACTAAATAAAATTTTGCATACAAACGCTTCAAATTATAAATGAGTTATTATTATAACTAATGTAAACAATGTATGATAACTGTATAAATTGAGAAATTTCTGGAAACTCAAGATCCATACCCCCAGCATTATCACTATGGCCATATAGCTTAGCTTAATTAAACAATGACTTTGGAAGAACTACAAGGTGGATCTACTAGAGACCATATTAATTTAAGAAAACATTAGAAATAATAACTTGTCATAAGAAATTTCTAAGGTACCTAAAACTGCACTGGGAAACAAAGATCTAGCAAACTCCCAGTATCTCAATGTTACAATTTTATTTTTGAACACTGAAATGAGGAAAAGATTATAAGATATATACAGGAGTCAGAATGATCTGTGCATAAAATTTCAATGTTTTAAGGTGTGGGAAATTGTTTTCTAGTAAAAAACTGTAAGGGCAGGCTATTCCCCTGGGCAAAATAGTGTAGGTCTTAGAATACAAAGGGTTTGCACCCAGGGAAGAATAGAATAAATAAGAGGGCAAAGAAGTTCCTGGTAAAGAACAGAATAGTTTCAGTTCTTTTAAATGCCTGCTGACTAGTTACGTGAAATATCCCAGTTACTGCTTTCCATGTACCTACTGTACTTATTAACTGTTCTTAATGTATCTGTTTAATTTTAGAGAGCCCTTGTGGGGAATGATATGTATTGAATAAATGGCCCAGATGTGATAACATTGATTGATGACTGCACAAACAACCCTAAATTTCAGATAGTCCATGTATGCTGGTCTCCTGTTTTTGTCTCATTCTCTGTGACTGGCCCCTAATGAAAGAAGGCATAAGAAGCCAATATGATTTGCATTAGACATGAGACACTTTTTTGTTTTGTTTTATAGCATGTCACTTTAATGCAACATTTTTTGTTTAAAATACTGTTTTAGGGGCTGGAGAGATAGCACAGCGGGTAGGGCGTTTGCCTTGCAAGCGGCCAACCCGGGTTTGATTCCCAGCATCCCATATGGTCCCCCGAGCACTGCCACGAGTAATTCCTGAGTGTATGAGCCAGGAGTAACCCCTGTGTATTGCCGGGTGTGACCCCCCAAAAAAGCAATAAACAAATAAATAAATAAAATACTGTTTTAATTGTGTATTCAATTTTCTATGAATATTATTGTCATCTGATAATAGTTGTTTTACTTCTTTTATTTTTTCCCAGATTTTTATTAAAGTACTATGATTTGCATGGGTGTTTGATCATTGTATAATTGAAACCCAAGAACAAAAATTTGTAAATCTACAACTGTACTTCATGGTGTTTCACAATATAAATTTTAAAAAAATCTAAAAAATAAAAAAAAATAAAGTACTGTGATGTGCAAAGTTATACATAGCTGAATTTTAGACATACAATATTGCAGTTACCAGTGTCAATTTTGACTCCCAAATGTTTTCAGGTTCCTTCCCATATGCTATTCCGCTCCAGCTTGCCCTTGACATCTTTCTATGTTTTATTGTTAAAATTTGGGTTTCTTGACTTTAGTTTTGTTGAATCTATGGTTTGGATATTTGACTATATTATTCCTTAATAACATTTTTATATCTGTCTGCCCTGATCTGGTCCCCCTTGCTTGTCACCTGTCCTATATGTCTCTCCCATCCACTGTTTCTTTTCTTCTGATTATGCTGTAAGGCCAAAGTTTATCAGGGCATCCCCTGACTAAAACACTGAATTCCCTCATCCAGTTATTCTAAATACTATATAAAATGAAATCCTCCTATGTTTATTCTTCTTCTGGTTTACTTCATTTAGTGTGAAGTCCTCCAGTTTCATCCATGTTGCCACAAATTGCATGAAATAGAATAAACACTCAGGCACTTAAATGGGTAAAACCATTTCCCTTCCCTCTTCTTTGAGCCAAATTCTAAGGTTTAATTCATAATATAAGTTCTAAGCATCACAGACTATCAGCAAAAACACTTGTTTAGCCTTGTCAAATAGATCCAGCTCCTCATAGACATGTAGTATGTAGATCACTCCTCCCAAAGCATACCCAGTTTGCAAGAGTAAATCCCTTGCATGTTTTGCTTTACTCCAGAGAGAACTGCTTTATTATTGAAATCCTAGTTTACATTTCACTCTCACACAAACATGGTATGTGGTGTGTATGATCACAAACAGGGCTACCGGTGGACAGCCAGGCTCTGGAAATTTGAAACATCATACCTACTCAAGACTTCTCAATGTGCATACTCAGAAGCTTCAAAGAACCTGAAAAGAGCAGATTACTCCCCAGGGTTGTATGAAATTGGAACATAGCTGCCCTTAAGTACACACAAGCACAGACTTCTGAACAACTGTGTTGGAGATCCTTGGACCTTGGTGCTAAGATGCCTCAAAGACACAAAATCTTCCTGAGGTCACTTTTTATTTTTCTTCTTTTTTTCTTTTTGTTCTTTTTTACTTGCTGACCACGTGGGCTTCACATGTTGATCACATGGAGTTCAGGTGCTGATTATGTGTGTTGCACTATACAGAACAATTTGAATTGGGCTAAATCCTGTCACTAAAAAACTCTCTATGTCACATTCTTCACTCTTTAGTACTGCCCAACCATAATTAATATGTATTCTGAGTAATTCATCTTTTTGAACATAGAGATACAGACTGGCCATCCATATACTTTGGAGATACAGCCCTTTATAACATAGTGCTGTGCCACATTACTATAGCCTTGTGTATTTGACACTAGCACTACAACTACTGTTGGGCAGTAGTAAACTCAAATCCCCCAGTATGTACTCAGGTTAGTCAGTGCTAGAGCTGCCATTATGTGCCTATGAATATGACCTCTACTCATGCTCCACGATTTTTGGATTTTGATATAATAAATGGCAAACACAGGTCAGCTTTAAAGACTGAGTTACTGTACAGGCCTGCTGAACATTATACATAGTGCTAAAGAACACAAATTCCCTTAAGTCATGCAGATTCACACATACACTCAGAGCCACAATGACTCAAGAATTTGCAATCATGGACACCGAATCAGTGCTGAGATTAGAATGAACACTGTACCTCACATACTACCAGATATTATGAAGGAAGAAGGAATTAACCTGCATTAATAGATGATTACAAAAATTAAAATTTAATTCAAGCTCATAATTGTTTTCCATATTCCCCAATGACAGTGAATGAACTATTCTAATACTTCCTCACTAATAGGAGGGTATCAATGGTTGAGAAATGTAGTAAGAAGAGAGAAAATTTGAGAAATTTTCATCAAAATTTATTGGAATAAAAAATGCAGTAGTTGAACTTAAAATACACTAGTAGGCCTTAACAGTAGAAGTGAAGACGTTAAAAAGCAACAGCGAGCTCAAAGGTAAGATAAAGGACATTATCAAAAGACACATCATAAGAAATAAAAAAATTTAAATGAAGGAAAGAAAAGAGATTTTATGGTGTAGCATCAAGAGAAATAACATTAACAA